ATAGAACTGTTACAGCAGTCTAGATTTTAGATTTTGCAATAGCATATGAAAATCTCAATTAAGGTTAATAAATTATTCATATGTATCACACAAAAAAAGCAGGTACACTAGTAATCCTGAACGTAAACTGTAAAAGTAAAAGAGATAATATGAAAAAAATAAAATCAGCACCTTTGAAACATGAATGTGTTCAAATTAAATTTGGAAAAAATAATGAAAATATTACAATAGGATTTTTTGCAAAACATTTGTAAAGAAAATTTACAAAATTAAAAAATACTGCATACTATATTTATATCCCATTAAAATATGTGCATTTCTTCATACTAGATATATTTATATAATATTATATAAAATATATAATATAACACTTATAGTAAAAGAATATGATAAAAAATAATGCATGAGGCAAAAGTCTTGCCCATTAATTTGTAGTAGTAGAAGTATTCTCATGTTGTCAAAACACTAAAGGTTGTTATGAGCTAGATACAACTAAAAGAAATTACCCTACAACTTTTAAACATCAATAAGGGAACATCAAGGAGAAGCTCTGTAGGACTCTGATGAAGTAGGCTATTTATTAGTTGCACAATATAATATTCATCTAAGGAATCATAGAGTTCCAGAATTGGGCAACTATAACTTTCAACAAGGAACAAACGGACATGCATATTTCTGATTCTACACTGTAACTCACAGTTTTTGTGCATTACACCTCAACTTAATCATGTGCTTTAAATGTAATGTTATTCTAAATAGTGGACCATAAATATTCCCCAGAATAAGAGCCCAGATTGTGCTGTTTACACTGCATGATAAATCATTATAAAATAATAAGACAAACTCAAAATGACACTTTAGAGACACCTTTAAGGATATTTCTGTTGCATTATTTAAGGATTAGGAAAACTAAACATCACTTTCTTAAAAACACCAATAGAAACCAATACATTTAAATAAAACAAGAAGCAACTTTTTAAGGAACTCATTGCTGTAGCACAGCATATCTCACAAAAAGTACATATTTTTTCCACCTGGAATGCATTAACAATTTTTCAATATGACAAGTTTGCATGTGATAATAACAAGGCCACAGAACAGGCAAAACCCATTTGTAGGATTCAGAAGGTCTCAAAGAGACAAATAAAGAAGTATATTTTGCAGATCAAAAAACAGCTACTAAACAATACATCTCTATAGAAAAGGAAATGAGCCAATAAGAACAAAATGAGTTATGTTGTACAGGGTAAGAGACTGCAAGGTGACAAGATAAAGCAATAAAAAATTAAGATGACCAGAAAACATGCAGTTAAACAAATAGAAATAAATAAAGTTGTGCGATACAAAATCTCATCCCATCACCTTCTGAACCAGCCCACATCTTCAACAATTCCACACATCCTGAAGACTGAAAAAAAAGTTCTAGCAAAGTCAAAGAAGAAAATGATGCCTTGAGAAACAGAAAGGCCTCTGGAGATGCTTAAATAATCAACAATCCTCTTTAAGATTCCTTTATGAGCAACATAATAGCAGTAATATGACACAGAAGATCAAAAAGAGAAATAGAAAACAGACCACATCATAAATCCAGAAAGAAGACGTGAGTTTAAGTAATGTGATCCCCTATTGCTGTTGATACAGTTTTCCCTTGTCTATTTTAAGCAGGTTGGATTAAGAAGTGGTGCTTTAAATGAGTTATGCATCTAAATATACAATATATACTAAATATGCAACATTTTATGCATTTTGAGAAACAGTTTATGGCCAGATACTTTATGAAAGATTTTACATGAATCATTTCTACACTGGATTATTTTAATATTATCGAAATGATGTATTTGTGTCTGTGTGTGCCCAGTAATGGACTGGTGTACCGTGCAGAGTATACTCCACCTTGCACCCACTGCTGGCCGGGATAGACTCCAGCTCCCCTGTGACTCTGAATTGGGTTATGGAGTTAGAAAATGGATGGATGGATGGATGAATGAAATCATGTAGAAGAAATTTTAGCAAATGGCAGGTTGCAATATATTCCCTGGCAGTTAAAATGAGGATGAAAGAGACGCATCTTGTCATGCTTCCTGCTTTACAAGATGATGTAATGAATGATAAGTAGAACCACAGAAGTGCAGGGAAAAAGATGGGACCTGATTTCTGAAAGACATTAATTATGCAGATAATGCGTCTGATCACAGGACCATGCCAAGGCATTCATTAGATATGTGGGTGGCAGTAACATAAAATAAAACCATTCAAATTTACGGTTAACACAGCCATCAATACAATGCTAGTTAATCTTTAAGAAAACATTCTTAATACAATGTAAAATGAAGATACTGAAGGAGTTGAGGAACGGAAGAACCAATCTAAATCCCAAGAAATGGCAAGGCCACTGTAAAAGATCCAACCAAAGGACGGAAGTTAATGAAAAGGAAGTGTAGTGTCCAGTGATAGAGATTCAGAGAACATCTTCTGTGCGGCCATGCTCAGGAAATCTGGAAGCCAAGTAAATCAGGTCTGAAAGCAGAAATGCAGAGGAGCTGCTGGCTGAACAGAACTGCCACAGATACAGTACAATCAGGAAGAGACCTGAATGAGAAGTGACAGCTCTGGAAGTCAGAATAAGAAGATGGAGGTGTGAAACTTCAGTGGAGACTCCTCCCAGAAGCCCTGTGGCTCCTCAATCCAGGTGGTCAAGGTGTGGAGGGTCACCCTTGCGAAACAAGGAGAAGAATGGCGGAAAGATAGATGAAGGTGTGCACTCTAATTTAGAGCAGTGTCCAAGCCTTAAAACTGGGTGTCACCTCTGTGCAGTGTTCCGAAGGAGCCTACATTCTATTCTAGATCTAAACTTCCAGACTGAGAGTCAATTGTATCATTATTACAACAAGAGAAGCAGTTACTTTTATATACTTTACAATTAAGAAAAGTTTGATTAAAACATCACAAATTATAAACTTCATAAGCTAAATTGATGGGCATTTGCTCATTGGCACAAATGTTATAAAACCATTAGTCTGCTCTTCCACACTGACCTTTTGTATTATGCATACCCAGATCACTCTGTGGAGAATATAGCTGAATGTAGCTACTAAATTTACAGCTTGAAAGTAATCTACTCTACTGTGTTCATTAACTGAATTTACTGCAGAAAGCACTTTGGGGTAATAAAATCTTCTAAATTAATGTCAGGCACACAGATGCACACTGATATTTTCTACAACAATAAATATTCTGTTTGTAGATTTGTATCTATAAAAAGTGCTTAAAAATTCTAATTTTTACATTTAAAATGCTTTTAACTATAAAGGATCCCAACACACTTTACACATAGGAGGGAATCTACGTCATCTATAGTACCACTGAAAAGCAACAACCACCCAGGTAAAATATTGCAGCTATTCTGGATCAGAAGACCCAGCAAAACAGATGGAGACAAGACAGACTGTCTCACCATTCGAATTCAGGGAGAAATTTAGGGAGACTAGATTGTGCTAATCCAAAGTGAAATTCTGCAGCCAGTACACCTGGATTAATACCTCTACACTTTTGAACAACTAGGATGTGCTCTTAGATGACCAGGTAATTAAGACCTTAATTGAATATCTATTACAGCACATTGTCCCTTCGTCCCTATACTGGGACAAAGGTTTGGAAATTCTGGTTCAGAGGTAAGAGTGCCCCCTACCAGTCTACAAACACGTTGCTGCTATAAGAGTTTCCTAGAGGCCTCCAAACCCCAGTACTGACCAGACCCATCTTTGCTTAGCTGTTTGACTGAAATACCATTGCTGATCCTTCCTGCTAAGGCAAATCCTCATTAATCTATGATTTTCATTTGCAATACAGCTGTGGTGTTCTCCACTGAAGTATAACCCCTGGGTTTTATCTTTAAAAAATTACAACAAATTGCCTGAAATAAAGGGATTATAATTTACTTAACATTAAATTAAAAATAAATCCCTATTCTTTGCTGGGGACCTTCCAATAACCAAGATTAAAAAAAAAACAGTTAAAACGGACCTAGAGAGACCTTTCTGGAAGACAGAAAACGATTTTTAGTTTTGATCCCTTCATCCCATTCAGATCACAAGCAGTTACATGCAGTAGGATGACTTAGGAAAACCCCCCCCAAAAAAAACAAGGATAACTGACAGTTTGCTACTGATTCTACGTCCGTCGTACAATTATTCATTACAAGCAAAAACAAAACGAACTGGTATACAAGCAGTTCACATACTGTAACAAGCTTCCACTTAAAATGAAAGTTAAAACTTTTAGGAAAAGTAAATAAAATTCAAGTATGTTTTACACACACTTGCTCCTGGGAATGATTCTTTTCCAAGTCACGGGTGACATTATGATTTTTAGGTTGAAAATCGTCTGATGACTGAAATTAAGGAACTTTATGCAATATGTTGCGCGCAACACTAACCGGTTCATAGTATAGGATCGCATCCACGCAGCTCAGTCGCGTTTGGTCTGAGTAACACTAAAGAAAATGCCAACGTGCGTTTAAATAAAGTTAAAGTACCATTGAAAGGATGACAGCAATTACAAACATTTTATCTCTCGTGTCTAGCTGATTCGGGTTTTAAAAGAAAAAAGTGACTTTTGCTGTGTGAATCGATGGATAGGCTAAGCGATAAATATCGTGTCGAAAACAGTTACGCACGTTTAGAACTACAGTACAGTATTCATGGCTACCCGTTCACCGCTCGCAACTGTAATAGAATCGATCCATTCAGTATCACATTTATCAAAGTCCCTCCCACTCAGAACTCTGACTTGTGAGGCAGCTGCACACCAGCACTTGATTCTGTGGCGACCTCTGAACACCGACTACAATTTTAAATAAAACTTTGTTCTTACATTTGTAAAACACAGTGAAAGGGGGAGAAATTCTACCGTTTGGATTTTTGCTGGATTTTAAACACATATGAACAGCTTGAATACAAACTTATAGAGTATATTATATAAGAAATTATACTGTAACGTACCTTGTACGAGTCTGTCGCCAGCAAGATGTTAAAATCCTGTGCAGCCATTTCTTGGGAACTGAAGTCAGGCAGGAATGTCCGCCTTTCTGGCTCTTACTTTCTTTAGTGTAAAAGCGTGACTTTTAAGACGGAGAAATACTGCTTACAACTCCTACCTACTGCTGCTTCCCGAATGTCAAGGTTTGAGTGCGGCAATGCAATGCTGTTACTACAGCGTCCGGGGTACAGAAGGGGAGGGCCTGAAGCCTCAGCCAGCCTGACTGCGTGCTGCGTGAGACCGATTTCTCGCAGACACTACCTACTGGAGTGACGTCACGGCTTGAGAGGAGGAGATCCTGAAACAAAGTTTCGATTTCTCCTAATCAGATGAGTAACGAGGTTCAGTTTCCTGGCACTTAGATCAGACTAAGTTTCTGTTTCTGTCATATTTTCTGAAAGAATAGCGGTGTTGTTTCTTAAATTATTCCTATATCCAGGGAACAATTATATTTACATATATTATTAGATTCTTACGTTTACAATACAATAAAACCATTGGGCATTTATATAATAATAGCTTACACTCCTGTATTTAAATTTTACCCTTTTAATTACATTTCCCAATGTTCTGGTTGCCTTATTGCTTCACCACCTAACATAGAAAATGAAAATGTGTCAAAGGACACTTTGTTCTATTTTCTCAGTTACAGAGTGTAACCTGAAACCATTGCAAGGCATGCAATGGGAAACATTTTGTCTCAGTTCCCCAATAACTGGGATTTTTATTAAAGTAATAATAATTAATAATAATTGCTTACACTTACACTTTTCTGGACACTCCCCTCAAAGCGCTTCATAGGTAATGGGGACTCCACCACCACCAATGTGTAGCATCCACCTGGATGATGCGACAGCAGCCATAGTGCACCAAAACGCTCACCACACACCAGCTATCAGTGGGGAGGAGAGCAGCCAATTCATAGAGGGGGATTATTAGGAGGCCATGATTGGTAAGGGCCAATGGGAAATTTGGCCAGGACACCGGGGTTACACCCTTTGAGAAACACCCTGGGATTTTTAATGACCACAGAGAGTCAGGACATCAGTTTTATGTCTCATCTGAAGGACGGCACTTGTTTACAGTATAGTGTTCCCATCACTATACTGGGGCATTCGGACCCACATGGACCGCAGGGTGAGCGCTCCCTGCTGGCCCCACTAACACTTCTTCCAGCAGCAACCTTTTCCCAGGAGGTCTCACATCCAGGTACTGACCAGGCTCAAACCCACTTAGCTTCAGTAGGTTGCCAGTTGTGAGTTGCAGGGTAATACGGCTGCTGGCCATATCATCGTTTATCTTATTTATCCATATTTATCTTTCCCTTAAGTGCCTGGATAGTTTATACAGGTAATGTACAGTATTTGTTGTCTGTCAAATGACTGCTAGTAGTTCGGCTGTACTAAATTCACCTTGTTTCGCATTTTTCAATCAGTTTGAACATTCATATGAACATTTTAATAGCAAGCTGTCGATTTTAATAACTTTCTTTGGTGTTGATCTCTTAAGAAGAACCTGGTTTTTTTCACCTTTGTGGCAGAAAAACAAATGACAATTTAGTGATGTTAAAGTACAACTGTAGTGTTTACTACATCCTCCACAATTCTGTTGCTGTCGTAATCTTTCTCTCACTAGGTCTTTTCATTATACTTTTTGCCAGTGCTTGCAATTCATGGAACTACTTTTCTTTAATTATATCCTGTTCTCAAATAATCATTTTAAAGTACTTCCTTTATCCTTAGATTTTTCCTAAT